AAGTAGCCTTACTGAAAATTAAGGCAATTACCAACATCGCAAGGAAAGCGTATTCCACTTTTCTCTCCCGTTCCGTATCGCGCCGGTTCGCTTCATGCTGCCACCAATTAACCCCCCGTTGACCAGGGTGACCGTAAATTCATAAATCCATCAGGCAAGGTCCGTCTTGAGAGCTTTCACGAAGCGATGAGTACCGCAGCAGGGTGCCGGAACCTGGAGAACAATGCCTTCGAAGTTGGAGACCGGACGAAATCGCGCACCCCTGTGTCCGCGAGTTCGCCACGCTCGCCAATCCGCACACGCGATGCCTTCTTCTTAGAAACATGATCGCCCTGGGAGCATTTCGTCACGGAACTTCGACCGGTTCGATCGATGCCTCGACCATGCAACAATTTCGCGCGCTTTCGTTACGGGAGTTCAGTTTTGCAGGAAAATCCGACCTCAGAAGCTTTACTGTTTGGTTAGGACCCTTCGTTTCTCTTCATTGTCTCTATTTATTCGCGCTTTGGAAAATTTTTACGAAATTCGTGATCAGTTTATTTGTTACTGCATTTCTTTTTCTGGAGATGCACTTGTTAAATAATCAAGATCGGAGAAAGTCAAAATAAAAACTAATAACACACTTTTAAATACAAATTATTTAATATTGAACATGAACAACACGTTTTAACTTTAAGATTAATTAATGATTCAGGGATTATCGTATACCAATTACATCGTTTACATAATATGAACAAAAAGGAAGTGCGTTTTTAAATTATTTTTGTTCCTAACATCGTACATTTCTAGCACTGTAAGAAGACGCCACAAGCTAAAATTAATAATTTAACATCACTGTCTACTAAGTTGTTAATGGATGCTAAATACGTTTGATCGTACATGATCATGGTTAAAGTAATCGCATAAATATTTCCGTATTGTCGCAATATTTGTCGAAAAATACAAAGAGTCAACCATTGAAATCTTGACACGGTAGACTGTTAAACCGAAATTTAGAAAGTGCCGGAGCAATTGGTGTAGCAAATCGTATCAGTCCTTCCGTATCTCGATTGTCCATTCGCAATTGAATAGCCTGATAGAACAACCGTAAACGTCTCGCTTATGGGGACAAAAGGCAGCGGTGAATAGCACAGCGAAAATTGCAGGAGCGAAACGAGTCATTTGCTTGCGCGCATATGCCAAGTACCGTATTCGATTCGCGAGGAGGAATATAGCAGGTGCTTGAAATAGCGTTCGATCGTTGTTCCAGGGATCTACGAGCAATCGTAGTTCGGTGTACAAACATAAATAACGATATCCCGGGAATACGTTGTCGTGTATGCGGTCTGGTGCCAGTTGGAGTAATAGACGCGGTAATAGGCGGGAAATGACAAATTTTCATTGCCGTGGATCGCGCTTCATCCTCCCCGATTCCAAGTCTGGAATGGTTCTCCGTCGGAACGAAACGAGTGTACGCGATTCGATGGCTATCTGCGAATATACCGCATTTTTCGCCCGATGCTCGTTTATCGCTTTTCGTCCGGGCTACCTACGACGGCCATAGGGATATGTATTCCTGTCCGATAAATCATCGTCCACCTACGTTGGTAATTTCTTTTTGGATCGTAAATCAGTATGAACGTCGGTGCGTGCGGGATCTCGTTCAGAGAAGTCCTGGAAGGTCGGTGGATGACCGGTGCATCGGTTACACGGCCGTCGGCTTTTTGCCAACTCCTCGAACGCTCGACGCGAAGAAAAATCGCGTGGTGACCCGTTTATTAACCCGTCAGACCGAGCAAAACCCACCGACCGCGCGCCTCTGTGGCTAATGTAGAATCCTAACGAGCGACCGGAGAAAAACGTTTCTACGTAATTGATCTAACATTTTCCTCGATTCGATCGAATGGCTCTAGTTCGCCATCTGTTCTCGACCTTTCGCATTTATTTCGTTTCGTTGGTATTTCTTTTATCGTCCAACGGGCGTCGAAAGTAACGCGCCATAGGATTTTTCAGGTCGTTGTCTCGTCGGAGAAGATTGCGTAGTCTGTTTGCGAGGGATGATGCATCGTTCGACAAACACGGCTAATCTTCGTCGGTTTTCGAGCGTCAGAAGTTTGTTTAACCTTCTTCAAAAACACGCCAGATAGCCGGTGTATCTAGCCAGGCAAATAGACCGAGGAACTTGTCGTATCTCTGGCGAGGCACTCACGACAAAAACACGCGATAACCACGAAGGAACGTAAAGTCCGCTACTCCTGGAAACGCGTCCGAAAAACCGGCGATAACGCGTTAATGCCTTCGAACAGTATTTTTCTGCTGACCGCGAGCTGTCCCGACCGACGGAGATTTTAAAGTTTAGAAAACTATTTAGAAACCCGTAAATAGAAATTTCGTGCATCGCTTCGAGCCGAGTGTCCCCGATTACCACGGGTATTTAAATAAACATGAGAAGCCTCGTCGAAAGTCACGATGATCGGTCGTGAAGTTAGACCGCGAACGGGGCTAAGATCGTACGAGAGAGATCGTGTAAAGACGATAAGCGAAACGGCGATAAGATTAAACAGCGTGGGTACAAAGAGCCGAGAACTGTCCCCGGCCCATGTCGACGAGAGAACGATTTTCTCGGACGGTGTTCGATCTTCAAAGGCGGCACGGCACCGGGACGACGACCGAATGTTTGACCGCGATTGAGCCGTGTCGAGGAGGGCGACGGGAAGAGGGTATTTAAAATATTATCACTATAAACAGTCTGACTCACGGAGAAGCACGCGTTCCCCCTCGATCACCACGATAAAATTGATATTAATGAACGTACGAGCGGAACACTGTCTGTTAATTCGTGGCTGGTAATTTTCGGCCCGGCTTCTTTAACCTTTTAACGACGCTGAGGCTCTTCACCAAAGTATTTAACCGAGGGTCTAATTTATACCGGATCGAAAGAGTTCAACTCGGTTACTTTCTTCCCTCGAGGTATCAGCTTTGGAGCAAATTTCAACGTCTAAGCAAGAACGCGTTCGGTGTCCCACGAAACTGGATAAATCTTTTCGCAGGCCGCGATACATAAATCGTCGTCCATCAGAGTCGGCCACTTTCTCACGGAATGCATTAACGCCTTTCCGGCGACACGTGGAACCGTCTCGCCGAGGAGGATCCACTCGGCGCGGCG